GTTATAAATCTTTAACAAAAACAGTCTAAAATATATTTGAAAAAAGAATAGAAAATTGATAACATCTTTAAATTGCTAACTTTTAAAATTTATGCACCCTAAGATCTGCCTTGGCTTTGCACAGCTGCGCCTCGCTTTCTTTACTAGAAAAAAAAAATTGGCTGGTTGAGCCATTTCAGAATTAGGTCTTCTGCACAAGTTGAGCACAAAGCATCCAAGCAATTTTCAGCCTTGCAAATTTGAAATTAGTGTTTATATACAACTGCCGAGTTAGTTTTATAGGCACCTTAACAGTTCCTAGACAGCTGTTTTGGCATCATCACCACAGGGAGCAAAAATAAGGAGGCCTACTTGTGATTGAGGCTGTTTCAGAAAGCAACAAAAAAATCCAATAGAAATAAATGTAAGGTCTACCCATGAATATGATTATGCAAGCATATCATCTCTTCCCCGCATTTTGGCCATGTTATGTGCGGTAATTCACTGGAGAAAGCAATTATATTTGGAAGAGTTAGCAGAAAAAGGAAACCAGGCTGCCAAAAAACATGGTGGCTGGATACCATCAAAGCTGACACCAGCCAGAACATAGAAAAACTCAAAGATGTAGTGTAAGATTGGAAGACTTGGCTCATACAATCACCAAGAGTGGGACACAATTGAATGGATAACATTATCATCATCATCATCCTCTTTTCAGGGCTCAGAATTAGGGCATTGGGCTCTGGGACATTGGAATGAAGAAGGCTTTGATCTCTTTGAGAACTTCCCTGATCTCAACAGCATCCTCTGGGCTGCAGAGGAGAGAAAATGGGTACCACACAGAGTCCCCAACCACCACATGCCAATTCCTGATCACTACCTTGCAGAAGATGCTACAGTAAGTACACAGATGGAAGAAGATGGGTGAGCATCTGGGGCAGGAAAAACCCACCAGCTGTTAAAACATGTGTGGGAGTTTTTAAAGCCAGAAATAATCCAGTTCAAGAAACATAGTATATAGACTCATGGGGCTGGAACAGTGGTGGGTTTCAAAAATTGTTGGAACCTACTCTGTGGGTGTGGCCTCCTTTGTGGGAGTGGCTTGCCGCCCATATGACCGGATGGGAGTGGCTTGCCGCCCATGAGACCGGATATGAAGATGCCGACGACACTTGTCAGAACCACCTTAAATTACCTCACACACAGCACNAGTGCATATGAAGCGGTTGCACTAGGTTTAGATAAGATTCCTGGGTCGGTGTGACCTCCAATAGGAAATGAGGCAAAATAGGAGATCTTTATTGTTTAAGCAGTTCTCTCGTGAAGTTTGGTTTCTCATGAAATTCACCCTTCGAGGGTTTAAACGTCGATCAGGTTTTCTAAATTTCGCTTCATCCTCTGACTTTGTAATCTTTGTAGAGCTTGTAGAAGTGAATTTGTCAAGGGGATTAAGGCCTTAGGTGGAGAATGGAAGGTGATGATGTCCTTTTCCTGCTAACTCTTTCAGCCCTGAACGATTTCAGCTACCTACACTCCAACTGCTTGGAGCTCTCCATCTATCCTGGGTGTGACAAATTTCCTCATGAAAGTGAACTTCCACAGGAGTGGGAAAACAACAAGGAATCTCTGCTGACCTTCATGGAGCAGGTGAGATGCAGTTGGTTCACCGAGTGGCAGTGAACAAATCTTTTCAGCTAGGCTGGGCCAGTCAGTAAGGATTAAACCAGTAATACACCGTCCTTTCTATTTGCATCTAGAAGGTGAGTGTCCTTCACCAAGTCATGAAGAGAACAACTTATTCATCCACACCGTTGGCTGGATAGGGTAGATGGAAAACAGTTGCACTTTTCATGTGTTGTCTCCAAGTAGTAATTTTCATGGAAAAGAGGGAAATTATTAATGCATTTTGAAATTACATTTATAAGCCATCTTTTCTTTGGAGTTCAAGGTGGTGTCTAGAGCAGAATCTCTACTTACCCTCCCATCAATAAGACAATGAGCTTATTATCTTGAGCTACTTGACTGGCCTCAAGTCACTTAATAAACTGTTTGGCTGGACGGGGATTTAAATCTAAGTATCTCTAGTTCAAGATTAGTGCCTAGTAAATCAGTGCTAGTAAATTACATTGTTTTTATGTACCTCACTGGAGCATGGAAAGTGTCAGTTGGTCCTACCTGAACTGCATGTCTCGAGGGTGGTGTGGGAGGAGTCACTGAATGGGTATTGTTACGGCCCAATTGCCTGGAGACTGAGGTAAATCTGAGGACACTCCCTCTGTTCCTCCTGGTGATTCCCCAGATTAACCTCAGTCTTCGGCCTAACAGGAGCTATTCAGTGACTCTCCAGGATTTTATTATTTTTATTATTTTTTTGTAGTCCTTTTTACCTTTTACAGATTTCCCTAGGATTTTTTGCTTTTTTTTTTTTACTTTTCGGCTCTCCTACCTCGGTTTCGCGCCCTTTTTCTGCCTGCCTACGCGCGAGCCGCGCTCGTCACAGCCTTGCAAGCCCCGTACCACCGGCACCCAGTGGAGGGGGGGGGGCAAAAGCCAAGCCTCGCGAGCCGCTGCCGTCCGGAGGAGAAGAAGAGGGAAGGATTTGGACGGATCCACGAAGACTCCAGAGGCAGCGAGACCAGGAAGGAGCGGTTCAGCCAGGACCGCTCTAGGCCATAGAAAGCTCGCTTAGTTCTTCTGTTGTCTGCTACACAAGGACAGCAGAAATATTGGATGGTTGGACAGTGTTTACAGAGTTAGTTTCTTTATGGTTCTTGCTCAGAGAACCCTCAAGCATTTTGGTGCTGA